TAACCCAATCTTCCATACACTTTTCGTAGGCTTGTGCTGGTATGGCCTTTAGTTCCTTTAGCGAATTCTCTTTTACCGATTCAATCGACTCAAAACGCTTACCACGAAGGGGTAATTTGAGTTTCGGGAACAGGAACAAGTCGCACGGATCCAGAACTGGCGAATATGGTGCCTAAGCGATGACAGTGGTGCCGTGTTTGGTCAAAAATCGCGTACAACAAGAATTTTCCATAGTAAAAATCGCTAAATGCACTTGAGGTAGTCTTACATTAACTAAAACAAACTAATTGACTGATGGCGCTCAAATTTGTACCATATGTCAAGAAAGGGTGTACCAACATAATAAATAAAAAAAGTCTATTTGAAAAAGGTCTATTACTTAAGGAGTAGTTAACAAACAATAAAATCCGGATACTTTTTGAGCAGGTATGCGCATCAAAAGATTTTCTAAGATATTAAGTAAACTAGGTGGATTGATAAATATATTATATGCTTATATATAATCTGTCCTCTTTTAGCTCGACACATCGAATTTAACGATCTTTTAATATTTTCATAAATTTCTTTTAGAAAATTGTGTTTTATGCTTTAATATAGTCTGTCCCTTTTTAGCTCGACACACTTAGCTCAACGATCTATCAACATTTCGATATATTTTAAATGATACGATTTATAAAGTCTTCCAAGATATACCTTAGTTTCCCATTCCACTTCATAATTTGATGCAAATCTCTTTCCCTGGAGCTATCTGTTCAAGTTTAAAAACAGGTAATAGTCACTGGGAGCTAAATCTGAAGAATAAGCTGGGGTGAGAAAGCAATTCATACTGTAGGTCATTTAATTTTGCCATAGTTTTCATTGACGTGCGAGCGGGTGCGTTAACCTGCAAAAACAAAATTTTTTTTTCTACAAATGTGATCGTTTTTTTAGATTACCTTATTGCAATTGATCCAATATTATTATTATCCAATGTTATTGTTTTTGCTTTTTGCAAATGATCTATGAAAATTATTGTACTTCTGTTGCAAAATATGGAAGCTAAAACTTTTCCAGCCGATTTTTGATTTCGTGGTCGTTTGGAAGCTCAACGCCAGGTTCTACCTATTCTATCTACTCCGGGCTTGTTGTTTTCCCTCAGGTGTGCAGTAATGAATTCATGTTTCGTCAATTGTCACTAATCGACGTACACCGTTTAGCTGGCGGTGCGTAAACATTTCTAAACAATATTTTGAATGAGTACCTCAGCAAGTAATTAGGAGCAGGCTATCTCCATTTTTAAAACTTCCAGTTATGTGATAGGTGTCTTGGAAGAGTCTGAGTCTTGGAAGATATATAGTTTACCTTTTCCAAGTTATTAAAATAATTATTAGAATTATTATCCCTTCACTTTGACTCTAGTTTTATTTAATTTCTGCAACCGGTTTAAAGTATCTTATGCATTTTTTCTTAAAGGTTCCACTCATGTTTCTCGTAGCTGAAATTGGAACATTAATCAAATGCTTCGAAGTCCTTCATTATCAATAACAGTGACCGAATGGTTATGTGTTCTCCTTCTGCACTAAATAGTAGGGTCCGGAAACTGTTGGTGCTCATACATTTTCCCTAAAGGGCAACAACGTAGCCAAAATTGTGCCAAACGGTGGGATATACTAGAAAATATTTATTTTTGGCTGTATTTTTGCACTGTATTATTTGTAGATTATATAATCAAGGCGAGGGAAGGTGAATAAGGGATGGATTTCATCTTGTGCGCCACAGCTAAGACAGGATTGTTTTTCAAGAGGTTAACCCGTTTTTTATATCACCAATGACTATGTCACTGATTACATATTAAACTCTCATATCGCACTTTCTATAATCTATACAGTCTATGTAACTATGTAACATAAAAGTTAATTTAAGATTCGAAAGCTATAATAATACCTTAGACTCATGCTATACATAGTCTATGTAACATAAAAGTCAGTTTAAGACCCGAAAGCTATTACAATACATAAGACTAATACAAAGAATATAAATTCTGTTTAAAAATTTTGTTGCACTGTTTTTGGTATTCTAGAAGATCCAATTATATCTTAAGATTTCAGAAAAAAAATTTTGTATTGAATTTGAAATTTTTGATTTTCCAAACGGACTCTATTGCTTCTAAAAATGATCTATCATTATAACTTAAGGATAGTAAGTTAAAGAAAGTATAATTAATATTTCACAGTTTGTTATGCTTATAAATACAATAACTCAATTTATAACAATTCTGTAACAAATATACCAGTCATTACATTTTATAACCTGAATATTTCCTTTTAAGTTAGTTAAGAGTAAAACAAAAACCTTTTAACGATTATCCTTAATGAAAATTCAATTACTTTAATTGAAAATTACACAGATTGTCTTTTATATTAATTTTTGTGAAGATCTTCGGTAAACTTAACGCTTACCATTGCCTGCCATTTTTAATTTTTAAAAGGAATGTAGCGCAATGTCAATATTTTCCCTTCCAACAAGGAATTCGTTTTTATTTCATTAAAAGGAGCACATCACTACACAGAACTACAAGTGATAGAAAAACAGTTGGACTGGTAGCAATAATGGACACATTCACATGAAGAGCGAGAATAAAGTTGGAACTAAAAACGAAATAAAAGCAATAAAATAAAATGGATTTTCTTCAATTTTTGTTTTAATCCGGAAAATGAAAAACTTTTGCATCAACTACGAGTTTCTATAAGAAAATCCAAGAAAAGTCAGTGTAAGGACAAGGCAAAAACAGAAGCTTACAAATTTTTGATTATCCTTTTTGTTCACATATGCACATCAATCAAGTTTTTGCTAATAGTCCTTAACTCAATCATTATAACACTTTGCGATGGGAAAGTGTTCTGTTTGGTTCAGGATAAAAATGCATAGAAGTCAAATTCTAGTCAAATATTTTTAATTATTTTGGTTATTGGTTTATTTATTATTCGTTATTGTCAAGGATATACTATAACCAGAATACAAAGTTATTAATCGTCGAAAATTGACAATATATTTGTATGAAAAATGTGGTTTTTTACCAAAGTATTTTTTAAATCAATTTAAAAAGAATGTTTAGCAAATTACACTGTCCTACATTATACTTTCTTTTTTGATTTTTTAATGGTATAAGCTTAACTTGAGACTACACAGCCTAAATCTGCAATCTGTTTTTCTCCTACACATCAGGTTCTCTAGGAATACAAAGTTAAAATTCAAGAGTTGAGGTTTGTTATGATTTTATGCATTTCTTCATAGAATTTCATAGAATCCTTTTCCAAATTTCTCATCTTTCCTATTAAAGAAGGAAATTTTAACATTATCTTTTAAAATGCCTTTTTTCTTATAGGTTAATTTAGAGAAACATTCTTCTTTGAGCGGAAAATAAGGAAGACAAAAATGTTTATCTATTGATTCATTTAAAATCTTTAACTTTATATACCTATTTTTCTCTTGATTCCTTTATCAATTTATACTTTTTTTTATTTTATTAACCCTCTAAAACCCTTAGCATTTGAACTTGAATTCATTATAGCCAGAGTGTCAGATGTTAAGGAGAAAATATGGTGAATAGGAAAAACACAGTGATATCCTAAAGTCTAAAGTCGTCAATATCCGACTTCGAGTCTGTTTGCACGATTTCCTGTTTCCAAAACCACGTTTACATGTTCTGAACGGTTTTTAGTTTCATTGTTTGATATATTGATAGTAGTACCATATATCAAAGTTATAGGTGCAACCATTAATTTATAGGAATTATTTATAGGAAATTTCGTGTTGCTAACAATAGTCATTGAGCCGTTTCTTGAACATTGATTTATTAATATTTAATAATATTTAATATTATATTAGAATTAACATTTATAATATTTAATCACATTTTCAGCATATAGCTAGAAAAGTGGACTTCTTTATTACTTCCTATTTCGGTCCCTCTTTCGGTTAACACCCGTAATCATTTAACATAAATAATGCCATATAATTATTTATTGTGCCTTGTTCTGGTGAGGTTGAAATGCTCCATTTCAACTATGAAATGATCCTAAATCCCACTCGTGAACATTGATTTATTATTATATATATTGTCATTATGTCATTACATTTTTATAATGTTATAGTCTTTATAATTCGAAATTATTAACTATAATATTGTCAATATATCACTGCCAATATATCTTTATCTTATTATTATCAATTTATTATTGACAATAAATCATTGTCAACATATTATTGTCAATATATCATTGTCATAATATCAGTCAATATATCATTGTCAATATATTATTGCCATTCTATTATTGTCAATCTATTATTACCATTATTTCATTGTCAATATATAATTGTCGGTATATCATCAATGTATCATTGTCACTGTATCATAGCCAATATATCATTGTCCATATATTATTGTCAGTATATTATTGTCGACATATCATTATCAATATATCATTGTCAGTATATTATTGTCAGTATATCATTGTCAATATATCATTGTGATTTTATCATTGTCAATATATTTTAGCCAATATATCATTGTAAATGTACTATTGTATTATATATTCATAATATATTATTGACAATAAATCATTGTTAATACATCATTCATATTATAAGATTAACAAATTATAATTATCAATCATTATTAATATAAAAAACTAAATTATATTGTGTCAGTATGTTAAAACACTGTTTTTATTATTACATTAGCAGCTAATTGCTATATAAAAATTCCGAGCAAGCCAATTAATAAGCGTAACGTGGCTTAAACAGTGAGAGGAGAATAACATATATCAACATATATGTTTAATAGAAGTTAAAACTCAGAAAGTATGTATAAATAACGAAGAAATAATTAAAATTATTTCAGATTTTAATTAAATAAAAAAGACATAAAATTTTATTTGCTTTATTTTTATTATTAATCAGTTAAATAAAACATATTATTTTCAATATCATTTTAAGTACATATATATTTAATGCATCGATCGATACGCCATTTACATATTGTATACTTAAAATAAATAGATATTCTCAATTTTTGAATTATTTAAAAGGAGAATCCACCATTGGGCATTTTTTGATCACTAGCATCAAAATAAAGCTGGTCATCAACAACTTGTGGCTGGAACTCATCATCAGTTTCATAATCATTACTAAAGTATGCGTCGATAAAAGCATAAGCTGCTTCGTATATATCTTCATTTTCATGATACTGCAAACGTTCTACTTTATGTAATCCACCAATCTCCTCAAAGATAATACTCAAATAATTTAACTTTTCAATTGTAATCGCTTCTAAAAAAATATTACTAAGTCCTATCAAAACGATATGAATAGTGTCTGTGTCGCTTCCACTAAGCAAATCAGAGAGTGGTTTCAGCATATCATACTTTTCCCAAAAATTCTTAACTTGATCTGTTGATCCATTTATGGTTGCATTTGTAACAGCCCTGGCCGCCTCTCTTTGTGCCAAAAAATGACCTTGTACCAGTATTTGACGAATGTGAGTAAACAAGTTGGCATCTAAAACCGCTTGGATTTGCTCTTGATTGCCAGCAGTTATGTTTCCAATGGTCCAAGCTGCATCCATCATAATATTACTATCATCATTATACAACAAAGCAGCCATTTTTTGCAGTCCATTAGCCTTAATTACTTGATCAGCATGGGTGTTAGTGCCACTAGCTATATTGCCAACTGTACGTAGTGCAAGTGCAACAATGTAAGGATTTTCAGAGCCTAACATTGCAATCAGCTGTGGCACAACATTAGTATCAACAACGATTTGAATCATATCGTTGCCTGAAGCTGTAAAATATGACAGAGCGCAACAGGCATGAGCCATAACTTGCACATCATTGACGCACAGTAATTTTGATAGCACCGGTACCAACAATTGAATTTCACCAAGTGGCGGAGATGAAATCTTGTTATCGCACAAGTTTGACATAAGCCAAGCCACAATACGTAACATGTATAATGGCATATCATTATGGATTAATTTAAGAATGGTGGTTACTATATTGTAACTTAAGATCATGTTTCGAGCTTCGACATTATCGTTAGCAATTTTGCCTAAAACCCATACTGCGTGTTCAACAAGATTTGCTGAGTTACATTGTAATAATGCTACAATTTGCGGTATTGCATTATGTTTGATAACAATTTGTCTATGTTCAGTATTACCAGAAGCAATACTAATCAGAACCCAAGCTGCTTCAAATTGTAATGCAGGGTTCAAAAAATCATTTAAAAAACGAATAGCAATTGGAACAATACCATAACGGACTATCATATCAATATTTGTGATAGATTCAACACTGAGCATTTTACGAGCCGCTTGCATGCCAAAAAATTGTTGTTCCTTATTTTTGCCTTGTATTGCGCGGGCAATTTCTTCAACATTCATTTGATTTGATAATTGCTTATTGGTTTGTAGCGAAATCGGCGAGACAGCTTGGTCTACAATATTACGACGCATTGATAATTCATGCTCCTTCTTGGACTTCCGCAACTCTATTGTATACTCGCGGCGTTGACGACGGGATTCTTCACCGGCTCGAGCGTTATTCTTGTACGAATTTTGATGAATTAAGTTAGCGTTATTCATCATTGCAAACAGAATCAAGTTAGTCAAATGCAAAACTTTTGACACTGTATTAAAAACTGACAGTGATGCCAAATTTAGACTTCACATCTGACCAAATTTTTTTTTGTGTGACCAAATATTAATTGGGAAAATGGACAATCAAAATTGCCGACATATATACATACGTGTAATATATGTATATGGCGATGTAATGTCTCGATAAAAGAAATAGAAACTAAGTCGTACGAATGAATGCAAGAGATATAGGCATACTCGAAAAAGGTCTGAAATGATAGTATTTAAACCGAACTCTATATATTGTAAAATAATAATAAAAAATCTGAACGCTACTACTACTACTATTCACCACTGAAATCAGTCATAAGTGTTTCCGTTAACGAACGCCGGCGCTAATCAATAAGTTTTACAATAATGCATACACATTTCTTAGTAGAGCAGCATAAATGGTAAATGACTCATAGCGCATAGCGTACACTCAGATGAGTATGAATATACTCATGGAAAATGAATGACTCGAATGATTTGTAGCATTTGTGAAATTTTCTGTGAGCGCTGTTGTTTGCTAAGCAAAAAATTTGCTTGTATTTAGTTTAATGCTTTTGGTGTGTGTTGTTACTGTTAGCATGTATTTTGTTTGTGTTCTTGATTATTTCATGTACATAAAATTAGGGGTTGTTTTAGTAGCAAATTATATGCACAGTAAATAACAACAAACTAAGTTTTTCCGATTGTGACGTAAAATTCATTTTTGATTCATAAATCATTTACATTACTTTTGTGTTGAATCTCGGTGTTTCTGAGTATCATATGAGAAGAGTGTAAATCATTATCAGCTGTGTATATGAATCAGGTGTAGTCGAATATATGAAAAAGAGAGTCAGAATGCATATAAATGAAACACAGTCAATGATTCGAATATGATTTGAGTGTTAAGTACTCATTGTAGTTCTATGGTATATATGCATCATATATGTGTTTTTGATTAGTTTTTATGTGTTTATCAGTATTGGTTATTAACGCTCTTTGTGTTTCATGTTTTTTCTATAGGCAGCTTAAATATATTTTTTGCTATCGAAACTTCTTACTTAGAAACAATGTCAGCAAAGAGGTTAAAGTCTTCACAAATCGCTGGTATATTTAACAGTATGGCTAGCGACTATGAATTCAACTTTTCTGCTGATGACAAAAGCGATTTTTATGTTGATTAAGAAGATTTTAATACCACAGATGTCGAATAAACCACAAATCGAGCTAAATGCCATAGTGATTTGGACACTTAAACGACCTAAGAAGGAAACTGCTATTGAGACAACAGAGTTTGATTTTAAATAAGAATCAACTACAGCAGCCCTCGAGTACCGCCTATCTTGTGAACTCATAGAGTTTTCGCAACTCATTTAGTTTTTTTTCAAGTTTTTTTTCCAAAACAAATATTTGAGACTATTTCGAATGAAACTAACCTGTACATTCACTAAAAAGACTCAAGTGCAAATTCAAGTTTTACTTCTTTGAATACTCGCTAGTTTATTGGTACTATATCATATATGTCTATTGCACGTCTTCCAAAGTTCCCTCAATACTGGTCCAAAAATATTGGAATGACAGCTATACAAAATATTATATCTTAAAAAATATTCGAGACTATCAGACGTCATATTGATATCGCAGAAGTGCTAACAAAAGTTGACACTAAATCAAAGCTCAAAGTGATGTATGGATTTGATCTCAATATGCATACATCACTGTACTGAGATCTTTTAAAATGTATCTCATTTACTGAGATTTATAGCAAATATATGAAGCAAATGCAAGGGTTCTTTGATTAGTTTTTTTAATTGCTTTATTCGGATGTTTAATCATTATTTGTTCAGGTAATATTGAATAATATCGCATTTAATATTCATTTAAAATTTTTCTAATAAGCTTTATTCACATGTGGTTCTTAATAAATTTATGATATTCACGTTATAAAATACTGGATCAAATGATTTTTATGTATTAATAATTTTTAAATGAACGAAATCAACATATTTAATTCTTAAGTAGTATTTTTCGATGAAAGCATCTGTAAAAAAAACATTTAGAAATGGTCTTACGTAAAACCATAGGGTAGCGTCATTTGAATACTTGCTAAGCATAAAACTTTAGCAACGATGCTATATAGAAAGTAGTTGGCAGCATTGGTAACTACTTAAAAAAAGAAACAGGGTTGTTACATACTCTTACTTCAAAAAATATGTCTGAAATTTCTAAATACCATATGCGCACTGAGCTTAAATACTCTAACTTAATCAGTTTGTTGGGTTATTACTTTTGTTTATAAAAAAAAAACCATCTTATTTGTTTTATGACGATATTATGACCAAAAACGCAGTTATGAGAAATGTTAAACTTCGTAGCAGTCGAAAACTATAAGAGGTATTCCAGATGTAATTGCGACTGTACTCAGAGAATCAGGTAGACCGCAGCACGCATATACCAAAGGCAGTTCGTCGATACAGACCTCCATGACTCATTTCGCAAGTTGATCATTCTTTCTCTCTAAAGGAATATACACTTGGCACTTTTCTAGATGTCGAGGGTACCTTCAATAACGTCTACCCTAGCGATATGATAAAATTCCTTTCAAATCTAAACTATCAGGATAGTTTAATGAAATTTGCAGAAGTTCTTCTTAAAACCAGGATTACCACCATCGGAAGTGTTCAATCCTGTAGAGCAATACGATACGATAATTTTGGTATTATGATGAACGTGTAAGGCTATTTAGTTTATGAATGAGTGATTTTTTCTTTCTTACCAATTGCTTTTTAACATAGAAGAACGAATAATATAGATTAATTAAATTTGAAATTAAATTAATAAATTGATTGAATTTATCAATTATTTATTTAATTAAAATGAAAAACAATAACATTTGCCTTTACAAATATCTTATGAATTTTATTAATATTCTTAAAGACCAAACAAGGACACTTTCTTTGTTGATAATTCCTAAACCTACTTATTTACCAGCAAATAGGTTTCCTTTTGTGCATAAATAAGTGAACTTAAATCTTTACGGAACTGGAATTGTTTTGTTTTGTACTTTGTTTCACATTTCACAAGAAAATATTTTATTAAAGAACTTCGGAATTTGCAATAAATAATTTGATTAATACAAGGTGCCTCAATTTTATTACAATAGACTTTTAATCTAATCTATCTATTGCTGTATTAGTTGGGGGATGGAAAATATCTAAAGTTAGTTAGAATGGGTGTAAGAGTGCATCTTATATATAGATTATCCATGGGTCTACTGCTTTTGCATATAGCATCCTTTAATGTTTTGTACTAATATCGTATTTTACTTATTGATGCGTGATTTATGATTTAAAAATTGACCATATCCCTATTAATAATTTCTTTTATCCAAGAATTTTATAATGCTTTCGATATAAGTAACTGGAAGTCCTTTAAGAAAGCGACAAGTTCTTTGTCGTTATTTCCATTTACTGGAGTAAGTTCAGCGCTCAGTTCAGAAGCTCAAAAGTAATTCTTTCTATTAATAAAATAAAATGAACACATAAAAATTTTATTTATATAAAAAATTTTATTTTATTTCTGTATTATATACATATTTATTTCTGAATCCGTCATCAAGTGTGTATCAGTTTAGTTTTATTTAGCTGAATAATCTTTCTTCCAACTCTAACCAACTTTAAATATTCCTAGACAAACTAATGTCAGTAGTGCTCTAAATGAGGCTTCCACTCTAACTAATATAACTAAGCAGGCTCATAACCATGGTGTCTTAACTTACTAAATATGTATAGCATTGTGATTCTGATATAGTAAGTTATACTTCTACTCCTTCTATATTCCTGTACTGGTTTGATATAGTAATGTCCCTATTGAGACTACCCCTTTTGATGTATTTCTGACTGACTTATAACAATGGTATCCCTAGCAACATTTCCAGTCTAACAGTTATTCCCAAATTGAATTATGATGGCGGCATCCCAAGTGAGACTTCCCCTATAGGTTTTTTTCTGAACTAGTTTCTGATAGTAGTATTCTTCTGATAGTAGTGAATCTTCCACTCTTGCTACATTCTTAACTGGCTCTAACTATTATTCCCAAAATGCTTTGCATCAAGTCAGATCCTACATGAAAATGAATCTCATAGTGTCTTGAACGGCAACTAAAAAGTTTCTAGGATCAAGCACCTAGAATAAGTGATAAGAATGTTGTGAGTTATGAGTGAATGAGAATGAGTTTACAATGAGTGGAAGTTCTTTAATTTGTCTTATACCATCATTAACATTATAATTAATACTTCTACTATTCGTTTATGTTAGTCTTAAAAGTTGTTTTTAGGCTCTTATAAAGGATTTTAGACTCCCGTAAACGGTCTTTAAATAGTTGGAGTTTAACTCAACTGAAATCAGAAATTTAAATTAATAAATATCTATAAAAATATAAATACTTTTTTAATTTATAAATTTCTATTAATTTGAATATGGGTATTACTTAACTGAAACTTTTTGCTGATGAACAGGTAGCTAGTTTTAAGTTTTTAAACAGTACACATCAGCTAATAGTATACTTAAAATCGCTATGATATTTGATGTGTAAACGCTCTTAAAAGTGATTTAAAATTTGTTTGAGATGCAGTTAAAGACTAACTTAATCTGTCTGCCTCTTAGATAATGATTACGGTTTCTTAGCTTTAAATTGGTTATATCCATTTTTGAAACTCCCAGTTACCGTATGCGCCTGCGCATTAGGCAATGGAAAGTTGTAAAGGATATATTCTTACTGATTTTACCTAAGTCATTGCGTTTCCCTACCAATATTGTATTTAAATCGAATATTTAGTAATACACTCTTTCGTTATTTAATAGTTTAAAATTGCAACATAGATTTTAATTTATCCTATTTTATTTATATTTATTTTAATTTTGTTTTATTGTAAATTATTGTGAAGACCCTGTATCAGAAAAAAATATTTCAACAAGCATAGTATAGTAAGGATGAAAGCAAAATGTGTTTACAGAAAGAAGTCTGCCTTTAGCTGTAATACAAACTA